ATTTCGAGTGTTTATGCACCATTTTATCCATACCTACTCTGTACCGTTGTCTCGCAATAAAATAAACAGTGGTTTTCTGAAAAATCGAGTCTTTGGATTTGAGAGATATCAAAAAATGGCATATGCTATCTCAAGCTGCCTGTCAATGCGACCCTATCCATATGTTGGTTGTATGGCACACATCCTGTGCAATTTTTTTTTTCATGTTTGCCCTCACAATTCAAGTACAAGTTGACCAGTTGGCCTCAAAAGTAGGACAATTTCCCTAGATTAAAACTCTGAGTTTTCGGCAGGTTGAATTCCAGTAATTTCCTGTGGGACAACTTCGGTGAATGCAACTTCGGCAAGCGACAACATCGAAAGGTTGCAACTCCAAAGAGTCACAACTTCGAGGTTTGTGTTTCATTGGGATATGCAAGTTTGATCCCACCGAAATACAGCTTCGGACGGAAGGACCTCAACTTACATCTCCTCTGGCAGTAAGTTCTGACTTATATTTCAGTCCTTCAGAATTGACTGGCCGTTGAATTTACACGACCGGACCGGGAGTTATCAACACTGTCGTTAGATATATTAGAGCTCTATTTCCTTCCGTTGAAATGGGATACAGTGTCAAAACCCGGATGCGAAAAAAATAAACCTGACCTAGTATTGTACAGGCATAAGGGCGAATTTCATCATAGGACCGGATATGGAGGAAGCTCAGACCCTGAAATTTATGCACAAATATTTTCAGAATTTTTGGGAGCCCTGTTGTGTCGCATGACCCCATCACTTATTTGGCTGTTTTTGGGGGTTTGACCCGGATGCGAAAATTCCGATCAGAAATGCTCTTTCACTCACTCTCTCTGCCTTCTCCTGCCCTGATGTGCCCTCACATACCCAAGACACTTCCAACAGATAATTATCTAGGCTGTTCGGGGGATAGACTTCCAGAGGGATCAAAACATTGAACAACTTGAATCTGCCTCCGATCACAGGGGCCAGAGAAGCTGTACGCTCCTCCCTGTTGCCTATACTGACTGAGCATGGGTAAAAACCTCTGGGCAGTACCCCAAGATGCAGGACTTGCTCTTTAAAGCATTGTAGATGTATATGAGTTACTACTATTACAGAATATACATTTCTCGGGACCATCATTGAGATTTAACCATTTTTGGCAATCATTTGATTTTTCGCGGTGTGCTCAACAGGCTCAATGCTGATTTTTTGTGGATTATATTACTCATAGCCTTGTTGTTATTCCACAAAAAAGAATCAGGCCGAAAGCCGGCCAGGTTCCTGCTCAAAATCAATTTTTTTCGCATCCGGGCATTTTTCGCATCCGGGTTTTGACACTGTATTGATATTAGGTGTCAAGACAAGCCCTGGGTCGACCTGGCTGTGGCGGGACAGAGAATAACCCGGCCGGGACGATAGTCGAATAACCCGGTCTGAAGTGGTCGCGACCGACAACGAGAGGGCAGCACTGAACAACCCGGTTCTACTGGGGAAGTTTGGCTGTAGCCGTCGAGGTGGAGCGTCGCGAGACTTGAAGAGACGGCGGAGTAGCCGCCTGGTCACCGAACTCGAGGAGAACTCGAGGAGAAGATGATATGTGAACGCGCGTCGTTCGTAGTCGAAGTGAGAGAGTGCTGCGCCGTTGTCAGGTCAAAGTAGACTTGATATTAGACGAGGTAGAATCTAGAGTACAATATAGATTCTACTGAGTTTATATACTGTGTCTTATGAAATTGATGGTTGTCCCTTCTATGAAATAGTGACCGTCTGCAGGTGTTCGATCTTGGTAACGGGCGATCGGGGTATCCCGATCGTCGTTTGAATAACCCCTGGTTGGTTATTCTGATATCTCGATCGTTGTTTGAATAACCCCTGGTTGGTTATTCTGAATCCAATCGTCCTACGCGTGTTCCGATCAGCATTTGAATAACCCCTGGTTGGTTATTCCGAATGCAATCATCCCAAGCGACTACGAATAACCCTGGTTGGTTATTCCGTATGCTTGTGATAACCCGGGATACCCGGGGTCGAAGTTGAGTGAAAATGTTGGAAGTATGCCAAATCATGACATTAGGGTTGGCCCGACATATTTTTCCCTCTTGCTGGATGTCAAGGATGACTTATGGGAATACAGCCAAAGGCACTAAAAGGAAGTAAATCACAAGGTTTTTGAAATATTCCTCCAGTGCCGAAAAATAATACATTGCAATGCGAACGGCTAGCCTCAATCCCCCAATTCCCGTTGTCTGCAAGGTAATCAAAATCCTCCAACGTTGCTTTTATCTCCTCCACTTTGCCATCATGATTAATGAACATTCCAGCATTCTCGCTCGGACGCCGTGGATGCAAGCTCAGTGTAATCTGATGCTTCTGGGTCGGTATCAAGCTCATCCAAGGGGGGAAGCGGTTCTTTAGCATCCTCGCCGTAGGATGGGTGCGATGCGGTTGCGAGGTCGTCGCCGGGGTCACCCATCCAGCAGCCACAGTTGATGACCATCTCGTGACTCAGTCCGTGAATCGCCAGCGGATGTTTGTTGTTTGTGGTCCGGATTTTGTGAGGCTTTTGTCGAGAGACTTTTGGATGCGGGGCTGGAAAACAATGTGATCAATAGATGATTCCATATCGAGGAGGCCAAAAGCTCCTCGAGATGAATAAAGACTTAGCGGTAAACAATCAATCATATTGTATCAACGCGCCGAAGCCTCTCCCGGATGTAGTCAACAGGGATATGAATATTCTGTGCTTCTAGATGGGCCAGAATAATAACACTGCCAGCAAACGGATGGCAGATTTCGGCAATTTTTTGATTGATATCCGTAAAGACACGGCAGCCAGGTGAGAGATTGGCGCGCTCGAGTGGCTATCAACGCTTAACCCAGATTACAGGTTGGTGAGCAATTACTTCAAGCTCGGTCCAATTCGTCCATATTCGTGCCCAAGATCGGGAATTCCTCGGTCTAATCAATAAATCTAATGGATCAATGAGTGCAGAAACAAAATTCCGCCCAGGAAATAACTGAGGAAGGCTATATGATTGGGAGAAAATATAGCCAGCAGAACTGAGCCAATCACACTGTAAAGGTCAAAGATGCCGCTCGGACCTACTCAAGTTGCTGCTCCAAAAACCTGGTGAAACTGAAGTTGTGTGTTGCAATTCCTGAACATGTTGCGCAAGCAGAAGTTGATTTTGTGAAGTTGCCATGCCAGAAAGTTGCGCATCTCCGAAGTTGATCCTGGGTGAAGTTCACTGTGTTCAGACCCCCCCATAGGACAGGTCTGCCAGATCCTGATAGGCAGATGTGTAGGCAGGCCAGTGTGCCGACCCTTGCCCATCCATCTGCCCATCCCTGTCGAGGTTGGTCTAGGTATTCCCACTGGATTAGGCACACACAGACTCACGTGGGCCAATGAGCCTAGTTAGCCAAATTCAATATCTGACATGACTTGTACCCATCCAGCCATTCCAACCAACACCAAGCTAGACCCAGGTTGGCCAAGGTTGACCAAGGTTGGCCAAGATAGACACACCACTGTCGGCGAAGATCTACCAAGGTGGGCAGGCTTTGCCTTGGTAGGGATGCTAGACCAACATCGGCCGATGCCTATTAGGGTACACCAACATCAGCTTGGGTGGGCAGTCCGTAGGCGGGGATCGGTGAAGGTGGGCACATCTGTGCCTATGGGGGGGTCTGAATGCAGTGAGTTGTCTCACAACTTCAACTTCCCTGCAAACTTGTGTCCGAGGATTTAAGTTGTAGTTTTTTGAGTAGCAAATACTGAAGATGTGAAAAAAACCTTTTGCACAGTATGTGTGCCATATGGTTGACCCAAATTGATAGGGATTTGGGTTCAGAATATTCGTTGCACGTTGATCATTTTCAGTGTTTTTGTGCCATTTTGAGCTAATTTCAGTGAAAATGGCCAACTTGCAACAGAGATCCTGAGCCCAAATCCCTATCAATTTGGGTCATGGATAGGGTCGCATTTACAAGCAGTTTGAGATAGCATATACCATTTTTTGAAATCTCTCAAATCCAGACTCAATTTTTTAGAAAACCACTGTTTATTTTATTACGAGACGGCGGTACAGAGTAGGTATGGATAAAATGGTGCATAAACACTCGAAATCACTCATATTTCGTTGTACGATTTTATTTGAAGTGATTTGATGCCCTCACGGGCCAGAACGACCGCGTGCAGAACATTTCGTTGCCACTGTAATACGACTGAGCTTGGAATTTGCCGTGCAGGGGGGAAAAGAGAACAACGAGGTAATCATTCGGAGCCGAACTTCGAGGGAGCTGTATGTATTATGTCGACTGTTTCCCCAAAGAAATCTCGATTATGATGTACCATACACGACGCCCGATTACCTTTCCGCGTTGATTCCTGTGTGAAGGCTGGAGTCGGTGAGCAAAAGTCAGTCGAAGCTAGCCAAAAAGAAAACCAAAGAAAATGGGAGAGACTCGCCGTGTTAAGTTAGTCGGATCGCGCCCCGGAGTGTATTCCTGCACGATGGTTGAAGGCTGCGCGTTGAGAGGAGAAGAAGGAAAAAAGAAAAAGAAAAAAAATCTGACGACCAGAAGATTCGGACAAGGGGATTCGAACCCCGGATTACGAGTTACCTCTGCAATTTTGAAGGGCAACGGTGTTCCGTACACCGCGTCCGAATATTTGGACTGTCCAGTCCTGTCCTAAGCTGGTGAATAAAAATGCGTTGAACCCGAAAACGGACAACGATGTGATTCGGACGCGGGGAATCGAACTTCGTACAACGAGTGAAACTGCGTGGAGCGGTAAGAAAGCTCGCGGTGTTCCGTGCGCCATGCCCGAGTACTTGGACCGGTTAGTCCTGTGAAATCGGTCGAAAAAGCACAGCGTGAGAAGACCGAGACTCACCAAGATGAATTCAATGCAAATAGAATACCTGAGACCACTCTCGAGGACCTCTGCAAGGCAGCGCCAGGGTGTGAAAAAAAAAACGAAGAGTATGCAAATATTCAGACGCGGGGAATCGAACCCCGGACTTCGAGCTACATTCTCCTGGCTTCCAATACAAGGCGGCTCGATGTGTTCCGTACACCACGTCCGATTAATTTGTGGGTTCATGTGTTAGCCAAGGTCGGGACCTAAAATTCCAAGAAGGGAGTATGGACGACATCTAGGGCCCGTATTCACACCGGGGCCAGATCGAGTGCGTAGAGCTGTCGGCTGAGGTGATTTCGTAAGATGTGCCTTGAGAAGAGCGTCCGACATTGAAAAGGCGAGCATCGATATTAATGATGATACGCTGAAACCCCGGCACGAGAGTAGCTGGAATGTGGTGGGGTATTTCCAGGAACACGGGGCAGGCAATCAGAGTTGAACAGCGTAACCATTGGACAGTCGTTTGCAATGCAAGCCACAAAACCAATGAACGTTTTGGCTGCGGTACTACAAAGATAGCAGGAGTTTTTACGTCTAGGGAGCTATTCAAATGGCAGATCTTGAAATTGCAGTTAGTTCAAGGCCTCAAGTTCGGTGGCTGAGTGAGACGAAAACAAGGGTTGCGACAATTAATCTGTGTCTCGGATAGATTGCTGTTGGTACCGCCTGTTGAAAGCCGAGAAGGGACGTAGACCTAGCACTTCGCTGAAACCCGCCATCCAGGGCGTTCAAGGTAGACTTCCGACATGGTGGTTGCTGGCAAAGGAGCGGGCCTTGCCGGCCCGGCAGAATTTCCCTTTCCGTATCAGCTACGTGGCTGTGTCTCTTACTCTCACTTTCAAGTCCCACTTTGAGCTGGCTGGCTACTTGGATAGCGCTACTCCTTTAACAAACTAGGCCTTACTGCGAGGCTTGCTACTTTCACAGTTTCACTGGAGCGCCGGAGCTGCCTATACCCAACTTTTATTTGAGCACCAACACGCAAATCGACGAGCACTGCCGCGCAGCGCAGCGGTCACGACCGCAGAAGAGTGGCGGATTTTCTGCGGGGATGGCCGTACGTGCTAGTTCCCACCTTCCGTTTTTTTCGTCTTCTGCCTGTTATCCAGCCGATTGCGCAATTTCCTGACGTTTCGACGGCTTCCTGCTTTATACCACTACCCCCATTCCATCACATCGCACGGCGCGCGTTCGTGTACACCCTTTACAAATGCGCGTTGTGATCAGTCGTACATGGGCTGCGGGGAATGTGTCTGTCGATGTGGAGACGATACGCGCAGACACCGGATCGTCCGCCTTCGCCTCTAATCTCCCCCTCTTCTTCCTTCCCGGCCTCCACCTCCCACCTCCCCTTTCTCTTCCGCTCAAAACGCTCCGTTCACGCCCGCTCTACTTTCTTATATGCACTCTGAATCGGTCGCTGACGCTCGCACCTACAGAAAACAGACGATGACCCGTATCATGGGGCGCGTGTGTGCGAGAGTGGATGTTGGGTGGAGACACGTCCGTGAGAGGTGGATGGGCGCTGAATGGGGAATGCAGGCTGCGAGGTAAGGATTCCCTGTTTCCTGGAGTCGGCGCTTCGAGCGCACAGAGATCTGAGAGCAGGGAGGGGTGGTCCTCCACTCCTTCATGTCTCGGGTGGCTGAGGCGCGGGGGAGCAGGACGTGTACGGAGGAGCGTCGCTCCTTGGTCCTTGGAACAATCGGGAGCGCCTCTCGCCTGACTCTCTTTCTTGCTCCACTTGTCGATACAGCGCTAACCCGCATCCTCCCAGTCGCATGCGCAAGCGTTATCTCTGGTGACGCGGAGCAGGGACGAAGGGGTCTGTGGGCTGGGTGGGTGCTCTTCCTCTACTCATCTTTTCAGTCTCTTTCTGTTTTGGGATTGGGGCGATGCAGGCAGGGGAGGCGTACGATGTAGCCATGGCGAGTACTCTGCGCGTGGAGGTGCGGGTATAGGGGGCGGAGGAGCGCTTGCACGATGCGGAGCTCTCGACGCATGCGCGAGTCGTGCACTCCGCGCAGCGGGGGAGATGGCTTGCGCTCCCTGCGCCGCGTTCCCATCCAGATGCGCGCAGAGGGAGATGGATCCCGGTCCGTCCCCGCGCGGTCCGGAAGGATCGGCGTGCGTGCATCCAGATGGATAGGCGCTGGAGGTATGCGGGGCGGATGTCCACGGTACGCGTATTCCAGTGCATCAGGGAGAAACGACCCGCAGGGTGGATAGGGAGTGCATGCAGGCGACTGTGTGGGCTGGACGAGGTACGTTCTTAGCATCCAGCCATAGGAGGGGAGGCAAGGGAGTGCGGGCGCTGGAATTCCCAAAAGCGGGGGAAAAAATGCAGAAGGGGTGCGAGGACGGGGGACCTCGACGCCAAAAAGAACGATAGAGGCGCGCGGGGGAGCTGGGCCTGCCCGCTTCCTTGATGTCCTGGGTGGCTGGGGCGCAGTCGGGGGGCGCGGGACGTGCATGGAGGCTCTCGGAGTCGGTCTCGCCGTCTCTTCGGATCGCGGGGGAACGCCTCCCATTTCTGCTTTTACTTTGTTTTTTCCCCTCCCCCTCCTCTCCGTTGCTGACCCACACCTTAACCGCGCGCGAACGCTGTCTCAGGAGACACGAAGCTGGGAAGGGGTCCGCTACCCTCGACGGGTGCTCTTGCCCTTCGCTTTATTCTCCTCTCTTTCCTTTTTGGGGGAGGCGCGCGATGGGCGGGAGAAGGGGTGCTCGAGGCGCGATGTGGCCTTGCGTGTGCTGGCGCTGCGCGCGGAGGACCGGGTTCAGCGTCTGCATGGCATATCTCGACGCGCACCATCCGTGGATGCGCTGCGTATGCATGGGACGCAGGCAGGTGGACCGTCCCGGCTCGCTGTGGAAGGAGTACGCGTACATCTGGATGGCTAGGTGCTGGAGGTGCGCGGGATTCCACAGGATAAGACGATGTCGGTGGGGAGCGAGTGCAGATAGGAGAGAGCGGTGGAGGATGGAGAGAGGGTGGGGCTCTAACGCTCCCTCCTCCCAGCTTTTGGTCTTCTTCGTGGTGCGCTGACGCGAGCGCGAAGACGTACGAGTCCCGAGCACTCTCGGTGGCTTCGTCCCTTCCTGCTCTCTTTTCGGTAGTGGGCGAGTGATAAGGGCTGGAAAGTGCGCTGGCGGCCGCGCGGAGGAGCGGGTCCAGCGTGTGCACGATTCGACGCGCGCCATCCGTGTATGTGCGCTCGAGCGAGGCGGGTGGATACTACGCGAGTCGGATGTTTTGTGCGCGTATGCATGCGGACGCAGGTACATGCATGCCCTCGATCCATCCGCACGCGTTGTAGAATGTGTGCGCGTGCATTTGGGTGACTAGGTGCGCGGGGTGGATGTCCGCGTGCAGGGTATTAACACTGGAGCGAGTGTGCTGGGGTCGTGCGCCACAGCTGATGTCTCGCCGGGCGGATATGTTGCGGCGGGGCTGCCCGTGGGCTGCGAGGATAGATGTGCCGACGAAGCAATCTATCCGTGAGGAGATGGATCTTGGTCTGTCCCCGCGCGTCGTGGAAGCTGCACGCGCACATCTGAATGACTGGGCGCTGGAGGTACGCGGGGTGGATGTCCACGGTATGCGTATTCCAGTGCATCGGGAGGGCTGCCGAATCGTCGGAGGAGAGCGAGAACTCGAGGATGGACATACGCGTGTGTGCGCGAGACTGATGTATCGGCGACAAAATCTCCACTTGTTTTCTAGGAAGATATAATTTATATAAGTTCTTGTATTCGCCATTGCACACTTCTTGCTGTGAAATTGAATGTGCGAGTCTCTACCATCTTCGGACCAACGTTATTTTGGCTACAGGTCCGGATTCACTGCGTTCTGACCCCTTGTAGACAGAGGGTCTGTCTACCCCCATAGACGAAGGGTAGGCAGACCTGTTTGCCTACCTGTGTCTATATCATGTAGACACAGTTGGTCTACATTTGTCGACGTCGGTCTACGTCGGTCCACGTACACAGACCGACATAGACCGATGTCGACGCACTTAGACCGATGTAGACAAATGTGGGAAAATCTGGAGCTACTCACTGCGTTCCGACCCTTTCTAGACTCAGCTTGAGTGTAGGAACCTAGAAGTAGCTACATCGATGATTGAGGCTACTATAATTAGCTTTGGAGTGAAAAATGTTCTAGAAGTGAAAAATGCATTCGGTTCAGCTCAGTTTTGGTCCAATTGCCTTCGGAAGTGGCTCAAATTGAACCGACGGGTGTGTGGCTCTAGAATATAAAAAAATCTTGACGGAAAACGGATGGATATTGAGCGAGATTCTGCTCCGAGCCATCAAAACCACTGATCCTGCTGCAAAATACAATGCCCTGTAATTTGTAGCCAGCAGATTTTTATGGGATCTGGAAGGGGCACTTATAAGACCTATAGAATTATGCTACTAAAAAGTCGAGACAAAGGACGCAGCGGAACGGGAGCTACAGATGATTTTAACAAATTGTCACAAGATGTCACAGGGATCTGGCCACCTTTGAATTGTCACGCTCACACGTCCTGCGGCCGTTCTGCCTCGATTTGGGCCCCTGAAAATTTCGAACAATACTTCTATAGGTCTTATAAGTGCCCTTCCAAATCCCATAAAAATCTGCTGGCTACAAATTACAGGGCACCGTATTTTGCAGCGGGATCAGTGGTTTTGCTGGCTCGGAGCAGAATCTCGCTCAATATCCATCGTTTTCCGTCAAGATCTTTTTATATCCTAGAGCCACACACCCGTCGGTTCAATTTGAGCCACTTCCGAAGGCAATTGGACCAAAACTGAGCTGAAGCGAATGCATTTTTCACTTCTAGAACATTTTTCACTCCAAAGCTAATTATAGTAGGTGCCTAGAGAATAGTCTGTGGAGGTCTGTCTGGCTCTGGCTAGGTTGGCACAGGTAGGTCTAGGTCTGGCAGGATCTGTGTAGGTTGCAACAGGTGCTTCTAGCCACCTATGCAAGGGGGGAAGGGATGCGGTTGCTCAGAATATTAGATGATGGAAATGTTCAACATTAAAACGTAAGTCTAGGTCTGTGCAGCTGAGTTTAGGGAGCTACCCTCACCTTCCACGAGCTACCCTCATCTACACTGACTTGAGTTTAGCCGCCTTACTGGGCACCTGTAAAGCCAGACAGACATTACGTGT